TATTCCCGAAAGAATGTTGAGCACCAAAGACACTCCACCTGGAGCCTTTCTTCTTGGAAGAACTGGCCTTTGGGCAAAGAAATGCCCATACCTCAACCACTGACAGAGATACAGAGTATCCATGAATGGATAAAACAGGACTGTCATATCCTGCCAAGACAGGGTAAGATAGTTTTAAAAAGTTTCTTACCTTTGAAAATGGTATGTCAGTTATGTTAGGCCTTAGCCAAAGTTGGTTGCTTCAACGCTGCAAAGATGACCTTGGGTGATTGCCCAGGTAGCTGGTTGTCTCTGTGATCTGTTGCATGTTTTGGAAGTTGTTTGATTGAACATCTTAATTACTCAGGTAACATTATTTCCCTTCTCAGATCTTCAATGGGGTTGAAGACTATATAAATGTAGTTACTTTTCTCCCATGACTTGGCCAAGTTATTTATTATACAAGACTTAAGCTAGTTAGAATAGGATATTTGTACTTATTGTATATAATTTCATAGTAGGTTTAGAACTCTCTTACTTAAACAAAAGGTGGAGGTGTTGCAGGAGCTCCTTCCACTCCTTCAGCCAATAGCCGCTGAGATACCAGCCCATTGGGGCATGGTCTCTCTCTCTTTAAAAAAGTGGCCACTTCCCTCCTCTCTCTCTCTCTCTCTCTCTCTCTCTCTCTCTCTCTCTCTGTGTGTGTGTGTGTGTGTGTGTGTGTGTGTGTGTGTGTGTCTGTCTGTCTGTCTGTCTGTCTGTCTCTCACTTCCAGCTCCACTTCCGGCAACTAGGCTCCCTTCCAGATTGCACAGAGGGCTGTTGTTGTCTGGGACGGTGATCTGTAAGTTTTTCCCCTTTAAATAAATAACCTTTCTATTAATCCTAATTCCAAACTGGTATGGGATTGTATGTGATTTATGCCTTCACCAGGGCCTCACACATGTTAGGCAAGCTCTTTACCATTGAGCCACATCCACAGAACACCTAGACTTTTAATGAAAAGAGATAAAAAAAAATAAACTCCAACAATCCTAGCTAATGGTAAGGTATCCTATAGCTTCAAAATCAATTAAGACTTATAAAGGGACTACTAGATATTGGCATTTTATTACATACTACACAAACAATGGAGAAAATCACTATCAAAGTGATTAAGGCGATGAATTGTAGGTGGTGGGCCAATCATATGTACCTGCTAACTCTCCACAGCAGCTGGCCTCTCACGTGTCCTCCACACAATCTAGTTCAATCCTTTTATCTAAAGTCTAGGATTACAATATTCAGAGTATGGTTGATCAAAGTCTGCAAAGTTCTCCTTCACAACCTTGTTTGACCATCAACGGAAACTAAAGTAGTAAATTTCTAGTTCTTGGCATTGTGAGCTGATGTTAAACTGCCTTATGTCTAGTGCCAAGACAAACCTAGTCATAAGAGACTTACAGTTTCATAACCTGCCAGAGATTTCATTTTGGATATACTTGAAATGCAATGCTCATTTTACAGAGTAGATGTGAACAACATTTTAACTGTATTTATAGAGAACCCTAAATAAAGGTTGTTTTTTTGAAGTCACAGTGCTTTCCTGCATCATTTGTTGGATGCAGGACCTACTGCCCTCTGTTGACGACAGTGATGATAAAGGAAGTCCTTCAGAGAAAGCACAGGATTGGGAGTGAGCAAAGGAACAGTTCAGTCTTTGCAGAAAGTAGCTCCTACTTCAGAATACCATCCAAATGCTGATGAAATGAAACTGCCACCCATCCCTCTCCAAATTACTAATCCAGTAAAAGGAAGAATACACTTATCTCTGAATTTTACAAGCAGCTAAAACTATGAGAGGCTCATCTGCATTAATACACTTCTGTAAGAATACAAATTCTTCCCAATGCTACCTTTGAATGTTTTATAAGTCACTGTGGATTTTTCCTTTTCTTTGTTTGAGACAAGATCTCATATAGCTGGATTCTCTTCTTAGCCCTAGGACAATGTTGAACTTCTGTTCCTCCTATCTCCATGTTGTAAAAGGAGCAGCAGGTTGGCGTCCTGCCACCTGGATAGCTTAACCCCCGAAATAACCACACAGAGATCTGTATTAATTAAATTGCTGCCTAGCCCATTAGTTCTGGCCTCTTATTGTCTAACTCTCACATCTTGATTTAACCCATTTCTAATAATCTGTATGTCACTAGCAGCTTGTGGCTTACTGGGAAAGATTCAGCATGTCTGACCTGGCAACTTCATGGCAGGCGGCTCTCTCTGCCTCTGCTTTCTTCCTCCCAGAATTCTGTTCTGTCTACTCCGCCACCTAATTTTTGTCCCTATCAAAAGGCCAAGGCAGTCTCTTTATTTAACTAATGAAAGTAACATATAGACAGAAGACCCTTCTACACAATCTCCAGCTCTTGAGTGTTGGGATTAGAGGTGTGTACCATTATAGCCACCTTTGATTTTGTTTACTGTGGTGCTAGAGATAAAACCAGTGCTTGATGCTAGAAGCACTCTATCAATTAAACCAATTCCCAGCCTTACAGTACAGTAGACACCACTAGTTCTTCCAAGATGTCACTTCAATTTTGAAAAGTGTTATATTGTCTTAGTTAAGTTTCTGTTGTTGTGAAGAGACACCATGACCGCGCCAACTTTTATAAAAGAAAACATTTAATTAGGGTGGCTAGGGTGGCACTCTTATACTTTCAGAGGTTCAATCCATTATCATCATGATGGGGAGCATGGTGGCGTGCAGATAGATGTGATGGTGACTATAACTTGGCTTGCAGGCAATGGGAAGTCGACTGAGACACTGGGTGGTACCCTGAGTATAGGAAATCTCAAAGTCTGCCCCAACAATGACACACTCCTCCAACAAGGCCAAATCCACTCCAACAAAGTCACACCTCCTAATAGTGCCACTCCTTATAAGATTATGGGGGCCAATTACAATTAAACTATCACATAAATATTTCTAAAATTTGAACAATTCAAATTAAGTCAAGGCATTATTAGTAACTTGCAGGTTTATTTATGCATCTTAGTTCTCTGTCACAAGGCCTTAAGCTTAATAAGCACCTGATAGGCCAATATTTAGGGGTTTTTTTTATCCCAGAATCAAGCACAGTCCACACAATTTAATAGAGGATTGATAGTATGTCAGGGGAATGAGTGAATAGATGATTGAAAAATGAAATTACTCTCTTTAGCTGAAAGTCTAAAAATGCCTGTTGGGAAGCTGTGATGCCCAGGACTGTGAGGGAGACTGGATATGTGGTGCGTCCCACTGGGCTTTTCAGATAAGCTTACCAGAGTTGTTGCCGACCATCACCTTCCTTCATGAGGAGAAAATGAAATAAAAAATTCTCTTAAGGTGCTTTACACCCTTCCTTGATTTTAGTTTAAAACCTTATGCACTTGGGGCTGGAGAGATGGCTCAGTGGTTAAGAGCACTGACTGCTCTTCCAGAAGTCCTGAGTTCTATTCCCACCAACCACATGGTGGCTCACAGCCATCTATAATGAGACCTGGTGCCCCCTTCTGGCTTGCGGGCACACATGAAAGGAATGCTGTACACATAATAAATAAATATTTTTTTAAAAAAAACAAAACCTTATGCACTTTTCTACATTCATAAAAGGTGTGTTATCAGGGGAAACAAGGCAGGAACTACCTGTATTCACCAAAGCTAAAAGAGTACTTAAACTGGTAACAAGGCAGTTTAAGGCGGGAAGCCAAGTAATAGTAACCCAAGGCTCTGCCATAAGTATGACTTCAATTATTCAATGATGGGCTTAACTTGTAAAAGTCTTAAAACCTAAGATTCATGAAATCATCCCAGTTTCCAAAAAGCAGGGAAAACCCAATACTGCTTTGTAATTTCTCCAGTGACTTCTATACTATATAAATGCCTGGACCTGGCTGGCAACAGGTTAGAAACAGGACCACAAGGAAATAATTAAACAATGCCTGACGAACGATCTCTTCAGTGATTAGGAGTGGATGGCTGCAGATGGAAGAAGGTGTTGAACAATGTACAGAAGCAGATATGAGATCACTACTGGGTAAAGTTCTCAAATTCAATAAAAGTTGATGAGGAAAGCTCCATGGACAAAAATAGGCAGCAAGGACAGAGCAAGTGGCCAGTCACTCATCGAAATGGTCCTCAGAAAGGACAGGTGTATGAACTGACAGACACAGTGAGATGTGGGCCTCAGGCAGGCTCTGGGAAATTAAATCGGTTGGCATGCTGATGTGAAAGGGGTTTCTTTCTTTCTTTCTTTCTTTAAGACATATTTTCTTTTTTTAAATTGATTTTTATTGAGCTCTACATTTTTCTCTGCTCCCCTCCCTGCCTCTCCCCTCCCCTCTTTAACCCTTCCCCAGGGTCCCCATGCTCCCATTTGACTCAGGAGATCTTCTCTTTTTCTACTTTCTACTTCTCATGTAGATTATATCTATGTAAGTCTCTCTTAGTGTCCTCATTGTTGTCTAACTTCTCTGGGATTGTGCTTTGTAGGCTGATTTTCTTTGCTTTATGTTCAAAAACCACCTATAAGTGAGTACATGTGATAATTGTTTTTCTGTGTCTGGGTTACCTCACTCAAAATAATGTTTTCTAGCTCCATCCATTTTCCTGCAAAATTCAATATGTTGTTATTTTTTTTCTACTGTGTAGTACTCCTTTGTGTAAATGTACCACATTTGTGGAAGGGGCTTTCTACAGCACATGAAAAGAGCCTATTTTCTGGGATGCCAAGGGTTACAACTGCCTGTCTGTCAAACTCACCCATCGTAAATCTATATAGAAAAGCAGCAAAAGCTAATCCATCTCCTGTGATTTCTTAAATTTAAAAGCAACAGAAAATAATGAGGAATAGACTACATGAGCACACCTGGGTTTGACCTCTTCACACCAGTCACTGCTACAAACATAAGAAATAAAAAAAAATTAAATTTAATTAAAAAAAAAAGTCATCTAACTCACGGCTGACCTCAAACGACACCCCAGCTCCCGCATCTGTACCCACCTTCACAAGCCACGCCTGAAGAGGAGGCTTCCGGTCATGCCTTTGGTGCTCTCTGTGCGTCCCTCGCCCAGTAAAACTTGATGATGGTGTGGAAACCAGGGTCCCCAGCAGCCTTGGGGAAGACCCGGATTGTACACAGAAGGCCAAGCTGGGAGAATGCTGTGGGAGGCTCAGGGCCTGAGCGCCAATCTCCTGCCTCAGTTCCCATGAGTCCCCTCCCTTCTCCACGGGGAGCGCTTCTCCCTGTGCCAGACCGAGGCTCCCTCCAAGGCCACAAGGGCGTGAGGAGAGCGGGCGGCTAAGGGCCACACTGGCTCACCACCCTCTGTAGACCTGTGCCCGACGCTAGTACCTGCAGCCAAAGCTCCGAAGCTCCAAAGCTCCGAGCTGGAGGGACCCGCACTCCCCCGGGCGCGGGAGGTGGCCTCGTCCATCCTCCCTCTCAGCGCAGCCCCTCACACGCAGAGCCTCGGCCAGAGGGCCCAGAGCTCAAGTCTCCACTGGACGCTTTCGCGCTCTAGGTGCAACCCCTACACCGGACCCTCACTGCGCCTGCGCAAGCAACGCCTGCACGTGCACACGTGCAAGGGGCGTGGCCCGCTGGCCAGCACCGTCCTTACCCTTCTTGGCAGATGACCTCAACTGGTGTCAGCCTGAGTTCCTACCGCACCACTCCCTCCGGGCTAGGGCTCCTACCCAAGCGTATTTTTAAGGGCAGACATAGAGGATTCAGCTGGCTTCATCTTCACTTCCGGAAAAGACAAAAAGTAGGTAGTTAGCACTGTGGAACTGGTGGGAAATGACTTCTAAAGATGGAATCCTTCGAGCTAACTTTAAGGAGTCTTAAATACGCAAAACTAAGCAGAACTCAACCTCTAGGTCTAGCGTGAAATCTTTAGACATGTCCCCGCTTGTCCTGGAGTTTCTGGTGTGTGTGTATGTGTGTGTGTGTGTGTGTGTGTGTGTGTGTGTGTGTGTGTAATTTGGAGAGTGTAAGAAGCTGCGAGTTAAGTGAGAAGTAAATTTGGAAAGGGATCAGAATGAACCCAAATAAATACTGGAGATGTTGGTGTTTTGGACTACTTGTTAGAGAAATGCTCAGGGAGTAGGTGAGGCCTAAGGCGCAACAATTCTAGGATGAAAGGGCTCTGGAAAACATGTAAGTTCTAAGTGATACCCTTCAGATCCACGCTGGTCTATGACAACATTTTCTCCTGTCTTCAACAAAATAAAAGGACAGTAATTTTATTTTAATGTCTGTAGGTGCTTTGCCTGCATGTCTAACTGTGCACTGCATATACCTGCTGCCCATGGAGGCTAGAAGATGGTGTTGGGTCACCTAGAACTACGTTAATACAGGCAGTTGTGAGCTGCCATGTGGGTGCTAGGAATTGAGCTTACATCCTCTAGAAGAGCACCTAGTACTCTTAACCACTGAGCCATCTCTCCAGCCCTAACAATGTGTTTTTAATTTTATAAAAGGAAGTGTATTATAGTCCACTCTCCTGCATGTATGACTTCCACAAAATATTGATGTTAACAGATATTTTACAAAAACAAAATGCTGAGACTGGTCATAATATTCTTTTTATTATTTATTGTTTTTAATTGAGCTATACATTTCCCCCACTCCCCTTCTTCCTATCTTCTCCCCTTCCACCTTTGCTCCTGCTCCCACACTCCCAATTAACTCAGGAGATCTTGTCTTTTTCTCCTTCCTAGGGGGTCCATATGTCTCTCTTAGGGTCTTCTTTGTTGTCTAGGTTCTCTAGGGTTGTGGACTGTAGGCTGGTTATTCTTTGCTTTATGTCTAAAAGCCACTTATGAGTGGGAACATATTATATTTTTGGGTCTAGGTTACCTCACTCAGTATGGTTTTTTTATAGTTCCATCCATTTCCCTGTAAATTTCAAGTTATCATTATATTTTACCACTTTGTAATACTCCATTGTGCAAATGTACCACATTTGTTTATCCATTCTTAAGTTGAGGGGCACCTAGGTTGTTTCAAGGTTCTGGCTATCATGAATAATGCTGCTACAAACATAGTTGAACAAATGTCCTTGTGGTATGATTGAGCATCTTTGGGTATATGTCCAAGAATGGTATTGCTGGATCTTGATGTAGATTGACTCCTAATTTTCTGAGAAATCACCATAATGATTTTCAAAGCAGCTATTCAAGTTTGCACTCCCACCAGCAATGAAGGAGTGTTACCCTTACTCCACATCCTCTCCACTGTAATCTGTCATCAGTGTTTTTTATCTTGGCCATTCTGGCAGGTGTAAGATGGAATCTCAGAGTTGTTTTGATTTGCATTTCTCTGACGGCAAAGGATATTGAGCATTTCCTAAGTGTCTTTCAGCCACTTTAGATTCCTGTTGAGAGTTCTCTGTTTTAGGTCTGTACCCCATTTTTATTGGATTATTTGTTCTTTTGATGTCTGGTCTCTTGAGTTTATTGTATATTTTGGAGATCTGTTCAGTGTGGGGTTGGTGAAGATCTTTTTCCATTCTGTAGACAAAATAAGCCATTTTGTCTTATTGACCATGTCATTTGATTTTCAAAAACTTCTCAGTTTCAGGATGTCCCATTTATTAATTTTTTTCTCTCAGTATTTGTGCTACTGGTGTTCTATTTAGGAAGTGATCTGCTGTGCTAATGTGTTCAAGGCTACTTCCAACTTTCTCTGCTATGAAGTTCAGTGTGGATGGATTTATGTTGATCCATTTGGACTTGAGTTTGTGCAAGGTGATAGATATGGATCAATTTGCATTCTTTACATGTCAATATCCAGTTATGCCAGCACCATTTGTTGAAGATGCTTTCTTTTTTTTCTATTGTATAATTTTAGCTTCTTTGTCAAAAATTAGGTGTTGATAGGAGTGTGGATTGATATTCGGGTCTTCAATTCGATTTCATTGGTCAACCTGTCTGTTTTTATACCAATACCAGTCTGTTTTCAGTACTGTATCGCTATAGTAGAGTGTGAAGTCAGGGATGGTGATGCCTCCAGAAATTCCTTTATTATACAGGATTGTTTTGGCTATTCTGGGTTTTTTTGTTGTTGTTGTTTTTCCATATAAAGTTGGGTATTGTTCTTTCAAAGTCTGAGAAAAATTTTTCTGGGATTTTGATGAGTATTGCATTGAATAATTTTGGTAAGATTGACATTTTTACTATGCTAATTCTACCTATGCAAGAGCATGGAAGATCTTTCCATTTTCTGATGTCTTCTTTGATTTCTGTCTTCAAAGATTTAAAGTTTTTGTTACAAAGGTTTTTCACTTGTATGGCTAGAGTTACCCCAAGGTATTTTATATTGTTTATGGCGATTGTAAAGGGTGATGTTTCTCTGATTTCTTTTTCAGCCCGTTTATCATCTGTATATAGAAGATCTACTGATTTTTTTTTGAGTTAACCCACATTACTAAAGGTGTTTATTCATTGTAGGAGTTCCTTGGTACAATTTTGGGGCCACTTATGTATACTATCATATGATCAGCAAATAGTGAAAATTTGACTTCTTTTCCAATTTGTATCCCCTCGATCTCCTTTTGTTGTCTTACTGCTCTAGCTAGAACTTTGAATACTATATTGAATAGCTGTGGAGAGAATGGACAGCCTTGCCTTATTCCTGATTTCAGTAGGATCGCTTTGAGTTTCTCTCCATTTAGTTTGATGTTGGCTATTGACTTGCTGTATATTGCCTTTATTATGTTTAGGTATGTTCCCTGTATCCCTGTTCTTTCCAAGACCTTCATCATGAAGGAATGTTGGATTTTATTAAAGGTTTTTTTTCAGTATCTAATGAGATATCATGTGGTTTTCTTCTTTCAGTTTGTTTATGTGGTACATTACATTACAGATTTTTGTATGTTGAACCATCCCTGCATCTCTAGGATGAAGCCTAAAGGTTATAATGAATGATTTTTTTTTATGTGTTCTTGGATTCGGTTTGCCAATACTTTATTGAGTATTTTTGCATCAATGTTCATGAGGGGGACTGGTCTGTAATTCTCTTTCTTAGTTGTGTCTTTGTATTGTTTGGGTATCAGGGTAACTGTAGTCTCATAAAAGAGTTTGACAATGTTCCTTCTGTTTCTGTTGTGTGGAACAATTTGAGGAGTATTGGTATTAGTTTATTGAAAATCTGGTAGAATTCTTTGCTGACTTTTTTGGTTGGGAGACTTTTGATGGTCGTTTCTTCCTTCGCAGTTATAGGTCTATTTAATTTGCTTATCTGATCTTGATTTAATTTTGGTATGTGATACTTATCTAGAAAATTGAACATTTTCTTTAAGTTTTCCAGTTTTGTGGAGTGCAGGTTTTTGAAATAGACCTGACGATTCCCTGGCTTTCCTCCGAGTCTGTTGTTATATCCATCTTTTCATTTCTGACTTTGTTAATTTGGACATTCTCTCTCTCTCTGCCTTTTGGTTAGTTTGGATAAAGGTTTGTCTATTTTGTTGATTTTCTCAAAGAACCAACTCTGTCTCCTTGATTCGTTGTATTGTTTTCTTTGTTTCTATTTTGTTGATTTGGGCTCTTGGTTTATTTCCTGTCCTCTAGTCCTTCTGAGTGAGTTTGATTCTTTTTGTTCTAGGGATTTCTGGTGCTCTGTTAATTCGCTAGTGTGGAATTTTCCGGCTTCTTTATGTAGGCTTTACTGCTATGAACTTTCCTCTTAGCACTGCTTTCACTGTGTTCCATAAGTTTGGGTATGTTGTGCAGTCATGTTCACTGAATTTTAGGAAATCTTTAATTTCTTTATTTCTTTCTTGACATAGTGGTGATTCAGTTGAGCATTGTTCCGTTTCCATGAGTCTGTGGGCTTTCTGCAATTAGTGTTGTTGTTGAATTCTAACTTTAAGTCATGGAGATCCAATAAGACACAGAGGATTATTCTAGTTTTTTTTTGTTAACTATTGAGATTTGCTTTATTGCTGAGTATGTGGCCAATTTTGGAGCAATAACTATGAGGTGCTTAGAAGAGGGTATATATTCTTTTGCCCTTGGGTGGAATGTTCTATAGATGGCTGTTGAGCCCATTTGAGTCATAACATCTGTTAGATCCTTTTTTCTCTGTTAAGTTTCTGTATGGCAGACCTGCCCAGTGGTAAGAGTGGAGTATTGAAGTCTCCCATTATTACTGTGTGGGGCTTGATGTGTGATTTAACCTTTAGTAATGTTTCTTTTACAAATGAGGGTGCCCTTGTATTTGGGGGCCCACAGACACATAGAAATTAAACAATGTTCTATTGAAGCACCCCCCTGTCAAGGAAGAAATAAAGAAATTAAAGACTTCCTAGAATTTAACCAAAATGAAGGCACAATGTACCCAAGCCTATGGGACACGGTTAAAGTAGTGCTAAGAGGAAAGTTAATAGAACTAAGTGCCCACATAAGGAAAGTGGAGAAAGCTCACACTAGTGACTTAGCAGCACACCTGAAAACTCTGGTGTTTTGATTATTATGTGGTGAGGAGACTTTCCTTTTTGGTCTGGTCTGTTTGTTGCTCTATAAGCTTCTTTTATTTTTATAGGTATGTCCCTCTTTAGGTTGGAAAAGTTTTCTCCTATGCCTTGGTTAAATATATTTTCTGTGCCTATGAGCTGGACTTCTTCTTCAGTTCCTATTATTCTTAGGTTTGGTCTTTTCATGGTGTCCCAGATTTCCTGAATATTTTGTCTTAAGAATTTCTTGGCTTTAACATTTCCTTTACTGGTGAAGCTATTTCCTCTATCACATCTTCAACACCTGAGATTCTCTCTTCCATCTCTTGTATTGTTCATGCTTGCATCTGTAGTTCCTGATCGTTTAACCAGATTTTCCATTTACAGATTTCCCTCAGTTTGTGTGTGTGTGTGTGTGTGTGTGTGTGTGTGTTTTACATTGCCTTTATTTCAGCTTTTAAGTCTTTTTTTTTTTGTTTGTTTTTTTGTGACAGGGTTTTTCTGTGGTTTTGGAGCCTGTCATGTAACTAGCTCTTGTAGACCAGGCTGGTCTCGAACTCACAGAGATCCGCCTGCCTCTACCTCCCGAGTGCTGGGGTTAAAGGCGTTCGCCACCACCGCCCAGCTAGCTTTTAAGTCTTGAACCATTTCTTTCACCTGTTTGATTGCTTTTTCTTTAAGGGATTCGTTATTTCTTCCCATTTTTAGTTGTCTTTTTCTCCTTTTCTTTAAGGAAATTTTTCATTTCTTCTTTAAGGGCTTCAATCATCTTCATAAAGTTATTTGTAAGGTTGTTTTCTTCTGCTTCATCTGCATTGGGATGTTCAGGTCTTGCTGTTGTAGAACCACTAGTTTCTGGTGGTGCTGTCTTGCTCTTCATGTTGTTGAGGGTATTCTTACCCTGTTGTCTACCCACCTCTTCCTCCAATCGGAACAGGGGCCTCCCTTTTCTCCAGTTGGTGTAGTTGGGGGCTGTGATTACCTTGATTGCTCTTTCATGTGTAGGCAGAGTAGAGTCTTTGATTATCGTTCCTCCAGGTGCCTTTGAGCCCAAGGCTCAGATGGCCATTCCTCCAGGTGCAGGAGGAGATAAGGCTGAGACTCTAATGGTCAGATAATTTTTGGAGGCCACTGCTATAGTTGCAGCCCACTGTGCTGCTCACACTTCTCCCAGCAGCCTGGCCTGGCCCATCTGCCACCAGGCTGCTTCCCATGTCAGTCATAATATTTTTAACCAAGTATTGAAACCAAGTTTGAATTTGTGATGATTAATCTTTGTCAGCTTGACTAGATTTAGGATCACATGGAAACACAGCCCTGGGTGTGTCTTGGAGGGTATTTCCAGAAAGGTTTGACTGAGGAAGGAAGACCTACTTGAAAGTGGGTGGCACTATCCCTTGGACTGGGGTTCTGGATGAATCAAACAGAAGAAAGTGAGCTAGCTGAGCATGCACATTGGTCTCTTTCTGCTTCCTCGCTGCAGATGCCAAGTGACCTAGTGCCTCACACCCCTGCTGCCATTGCAACCACGACGGACTGGACCCTCAAACTGTGAGCCAAAAATAAAATAAAACACAAAACCCTTGGTTTTCCAGGTATCTGGGCACAACAGCAAGACAGCATCTAATATGGGGCTCTTCTGGGTGAGTTACTGGTTTGACTTCTTACTTCCTTGTAAATTGTAGAAGTCAGGAACCTGATGAATAGTCAGATCATTTGTAGATGCATTTAGGCCTAGGGTAGAAGAATAAGTGGACCGTGATAACATTCTAGTTTAGACCACTGATAGTAGCTCTGTGCAGGGCAGTCCCCCAACTGTCCCTTTTCTGCCCTTTGCCATGTCATAAAGCAAATTATACTCCATATCTGCTCCTGCCAAACCAATCAGATCCTACCCAGAGACGCTTTCATGTGTGCGTGTGTGTCTGTGTCTGTGTGTGTGCATGCGTGTGTGCCCACATGCCATGGCACAGGTGTATAGGTCAAGTCGACTTCCAGGAATCAGTTTTGTCCTTCTACCATGTAGTCCTGGGGTTGAACTCTGGTCAACAGGCTTGGCAGCAAGTACTCTTGCCTACTGAGCCATTTTGCTGGACCTCTTCTACTTTTTTTTATTATTACTTTTTAAAAAAATAATCTAGACTCTCATTCATTCTCTCCAAATCATTGGTACCTGTTACCATAGCTTTATCTCAGTACCATTTTCTCCATTTCAATGCCAGATCCTCAGCCCCACTGGCTGTCTATATCTGAATCTTCTATTAACCTGTAAGAATAGTCGTCTGGGTGTGATTACTAATAGCTTGATACTGTTTCTAACCAGTGAGCATAGACTTTAGTAAACATTTTATCCCCCACTGTAATATTTGTGGTTGTCTCTCCTTCACCAACCTAATTATGAATCCCTAGAGAACAACAGATATATTTGTCTTCTTCCTTCTCATGTCTAGAACATCCTTAAAGTGGTAGGTACTCCGATGTAAGTGGAATTAATAACTAAATAAACACATTGTTTGCTCAGAGTACACTTTAATAAATTTAAAAAAAAGTAATTGTGTTTATTTGACATCTGGGTTTGCAAATGATAGGAACAAAGGTACTGGGCCTGGATAAACACGAGCAGGAGCTGGGACTCTGGTCAGTTTTACTTGTGAGTGAGAAGAGAAAAAAAAATGACATGAGGTGAAGGCAAGAAGGTGAAGTAGTGAAGAACCTCCAAGTGGTCCAGGGGTCCTGGAGTGAGTCTCCAGTGGCTCTGCACCCCAGTTCATCAGAGATGGCATCCCGTAAGCCAGTGTGAGAGTGGCCGGCCTGAACAGTGCAATCTCCATTCTACCCTGTGGAGGAAAAAGAGAAGTTTTTTTGCTCTCTGTGAAATCGCTGCTTCTCCACACCCCTACCCTAGTATTGCAGAGTCTTCCCTGCAGAGCAACACTCAGAGCCCCTTCATTCCTAACTTGGCTTCCTTTCTGATTCTTCTTTGAGGTCCCCTCACCCTGGGGCTTGCCCTCTTCCCTCATTTGTAAGCATCCACTTTTTTTTTTTTTGGTTTTTTTAAGATAGGATTTTTCTGTTTAGTCCTTACTGTCCTGGAACTCACTCTGTAGACCAGACTGGCCTGAAACTCAGAGATCTGCCTGCCTCTGTCTCCCAAGTGCTGGGATTAAAGGCGTGTGCCATCAGCACCCGGCAGCATCCACATTTTTAATTCCTCATTTCCCTTTGAAGGTAGGTATTACTATTCCATAGGATTTAAATTAATTAGAAAAAAAATTCTAGTTGCAATCTTTGAGCCTCCCCTTCAAAAAGGATCAGCCCCGATAATCATTAATTTTCCTTCCTGGATCTTGTTTTGAGCATGCAGCACTCATAATTTTTCAATCTTATCAATCCCTGGATATGGGAATGTTTATATTAGTTCTATGTCCACTTTGAAGCACCGGAAAGATGAAGTGGTCCCTGATGCATCCAGCTTTGAGGAGCTGAAAACGTTGAAGTTATCTGTCATCTAAAGGGCCCCTTTTAACCTAGGAAATGTTGTTTATTATGAGAGGGTCCCTGCAGGAGACACACTTGCATTACCACTTTGCTTTCAGCTGACTGGATCAATGAGAAAACACCGGTTCATACTGAACCCATTAGAGTTGCTGTCTCAGGAACTTTGACTAGGACTAACCGGTCCCCTTAGGACTTTAAGTTACAGACTTGGGATGCTGTATTGTGTCTTGTGGGTTGGAGAGCAGAGGATGCTGGTCTGCAGAGACTGGTAACTTGCATGTGCAATGGAAGCACATGGGATGCCTCTCACTGTCTTCCAGTCTCTCCTGAGGTTCCAACCTTTTCCTGAGGTCCTGCTGTGTCCCTTGAATGGGCGCAGTAAGAGACCATCTCACAAAGTGAACGTCAGGGCTGGGGAATGGTTCACAAGAATAAACACCAGAGTTGGATTTCCCCCCAAAACCCACATAAGTGCCAAGTAGGTTCATCTGCCTCGAATTCCAGTGTTCAGAAGGCTGAGACAGGAAATTCCTGAAGCAACTGGTTAGCCAGACTATCCAAATCTGTGAGCTCTGGGCACAGTTCAGAGACTCTGCCTCTGTGAATGAGGTGAAGAGAGAGTCAGAAAGACTCCTGCCATCAACATCAGGCTGCCACAGTGTGGATGCAGAAGTGTATACCACACATACGCAAACTAAAAATAAGTAACAAAGTATCTCAATATAGGAGCAAGTAAGTTTCCTTCTGCTAACTCAAGTTGCTTTGTCTTATTACCATCAAAAGTTACTACAGGGCGGTGGTGGCAGCACTCGCCTTTAATCCAGTTTCTTGGGAGGCAGAGGCAGGTGAATCTCTATGAATTTAAGGCTATCCTGGTCTACAGAGTGAGTCCCAGGACAGCCAGAGCTGTTTCACAGAGAAACCCTGTCTTGAAAAACAAAAACAAAAAAAAGGTTATTAATTCAATATCAGAGTAAAAACCAAACTCAGGAGTTATGACAAAGAGCACTAAGATCATCCACTACCCCATCTTTTTTCTTTTTAAATTTTTTGAGATTTTTATTTCTATTTTGTATTTGAGAGTGTTTGCCTGGGTGTATGTCTGTGTACCAAGTGCATGCAATGCCAGTGGAGGCCAGAAGAGGGTGTTGGTTCCCCTAGGACTGGAGTTGCTGATGCCTGTGATTTATCCTGTGGGTGCTAGGAATTGAACCAGAGTCCTCTGAAAGAGCAGCCTGTGGTATTAACCACCAAGAAATCTCTCTAGCCCCATATTTTTCTAAACCTCTGTAAGGGATTGCCCCCAAGTCCCTGTTCACTGCCCCTTGCTCTGTCATATGCTCCTCCTTGAGGCCATGCCCACTAACTCAGTCTCATCCGTCCCCCTTACCAGTTTTTCATCCCTCCTGCTGCAGACACAATCTTCTTGGCACAGTGGATGGATGAAAGGAGGTTGGGATCTAATAGTTCTGAAAAGAAAGAGGCGATCAACTGTGATGTGTACAAAGGCTAATCCCAAAGACCAAACAGACACTGTCTCTGCTAGGCCTTGTCAACCTAGGGCCTGAGCACTTCCGGATTAGACAAGGCCTCCATCCTAGGGACACATTTAGATACCGCTACAGTGGCTGCCAGAGATGGGCAGTGGGACCAGGAGGAGATTTGAGCCTGACCATAGCTATTTCTCTTGATGGGTTAGGTAATGCCTCACCCACAGTTTTCAGGATTTCTGGGAGAAAGGGTTGTGAAAACAGACCACACACAGACGAAGACAAAGTCCCTCTTATAAGGGGGTGGTCTGTAGGTGAGAAGCCCAGGGGTGCTTGGGTAGGAAGGAGTCACTGGCCCTGTCAAGCCTCCTGGATTAGCTTTGAGGCAAGAAATTTGTACCTGACCTTTGATTGGCCATTAGCCTGGCCACAAGTGAGTGGTTATATGATGGAGGAATGTCATTGGTTAATTAATAAAGAAACTGCTTGGTCTCATAGGTTAGAACATAGGTGGGTGGAGTAAACAGAACAGAATGCTGGGAGGAAGAGGAAGTGAGCTCAGACGCAACGCCACTCTTCTCCAGAGCAGATGCGATGAAGCAAGCCACCAGGATGGACGTAGGCTAGAATCTTCCCGGTAAGAGCACCTCAAGGTGCTACACACCTTAATAGAAATGGGCCAGGCAGTGTTTAAAAGAATACAGTTTGTGTGTTGTTATTTCGGGGCATAAGCTAGCTGGCGGCCAGGAGCTGGGAGGCGGGAAAGCAGGCCTGCAGCTCCTACAACAGTTATACCTGAGTATTCAAGGCCACAGAGCAAATTAATTTCAAGACTGCCTCCCTCCCTCCTTCCTTCCTTCCTTCCTTCCCTTCTTCCCTCTCTTTCTCTTTCATTTCCTCCTTCAGACAGCATCTCACTATATGGCCCCAGGACTTCTGGTCTCCAATAATCCTCCTGCCCCAGCCTTCCAAGCAGGTGGTACTAGTGACAACATACTTGGCTCAGTTCTCTGAGCCTGAATTTGCTCATCTAGAAAACATACACAGATCATAAACAGTTTCTACTATATGGAAGGGTAGATTTAAAAAAATGAGCTATGCATATGACATGCTCAATATATAACATGTTGAAAATCAGTGTGGCTGTAATGCCCTTCCCATCCACTAAGAGTCTTTCTGGATCCTCCTCAAGGAACCCTCCAGACCTCATGCAAGGGTGGGGCATTAAGACTGTGGGGCTTTTCCTGTGCTCAGTCAAGGGATTCCTTGCTCTTTAAACCATGCCTGCAAAGACATGCCTAGGCTGTGCCTGTAAGTAGAGCCTGCTCTCCTCTCTTGCCTCTCCCACCCTAGGGCTCCCAACCAGACCGTGACAGTTCATGTGGCAGAAGTTCTCCGAGTGACTCTGGTAGTCATTGCACCAGTAATGGCTGTTGATCTGGAAGATGCCATAGTCGAAGCTGCCGTCTGCATTCTCGTTCACCTTTGACATGTTGAAGTTGCTTTCCACGAAAGCCAAGCACAGCCCTTAGACAAGAGAGAGAGGAGGCGCAGGCTTTAGGAAGGCTACAAACGGAATGGGAAGAAATTGACTGAAAAAAAAAAAAGCGGGGAGAGGCAAGGAATCGGAAGACAGAACAAGGCCCAAGAGCTAGATAGTCCTGAAGAGCTAGAAATACCCACAGGCGTCACCCGCCCTTCAGTCCATTTCCCTATCCACTTGTATAGCTCCCCCCCTCTTCCCACCCACTTATGTTTTCTGCACTTGCTAAGTACCTACTGTGTGCCAGGAACTAGGCACAGCCCAATAGACTGGTGTTGACTTCAAGGGGCCTAGTACAGATAAAACAAAAGCACGGGCTTAAAGACACACACACAGCAGGGTATGTGGAGAAAGTGCCGGAAGGCAGGTGTGCACAAATTTCAGGTGGAAAGGTGAGATCCCTTCCCTGCAGGACCATGTGCTTTAGCCTGCTGAGCCATCTGCTGACCCCTTACGCCGTTTTTGTCTGTTTGTCTGAGACAAGAACATGCTGTCTAGCTCTGGTTGGCCTCGTAACAATCCTCTTGCTTTCGACTCTGGGAATCACAGACTTAATGCATTTTGACCCCAGCTAATACTTTCTGTCTGCATGTGTGCTTATTGCTGCTCTTGCCTTCCTAGAATGCAATCACTGTGAGGGAAAGAATCCCGTTTACACCTAACACAGTGGTGCATAGTCAGTGCTCAGTTAGTAGTTGTTGATTTAAATGTGCCTTGTTGGGAAAGGCTTTGTGATGGGGGAGATTGTCCTTTGAGCTTGACTTTGAAAGACAAATGGCAAAGAAAGGAAGGTGGCACTCACAGTCAGGCAGGGAGTAGCCCTCGAACCCATCCACGTCCTCCTGATGCAGTATCTTGGCCAAGACACAGCGATTGATGATGTCTCCGCTACTCACCACCAGAAAGCAACTTGCCATGCACACGAGCAGTACCTTCATGGTCCTCCAGAGGAGCAAGGTGCCTGCCAGTCTCCAAGAGCCAGGGATCTGGAGAGAGAAACCACTCTGGCTTCATCTGGCCTCCTGTAGTGGGTATTTAGGCACAGGCAGCATTTGGGTACCAGGATGGGGGGCGGGGGTGAGTGTTGGAGGAGGGCTGGTTGTTGGTTCCCGGACACCTGGCTAGCTTAGACCCAAAATAATCACACAGAAACTGTATTAATTAAATCACTGCTTGGCCCATTAGTTCTAGCTTCTTATTGGCTAACTCTTATATTAATTTAACCCATTTCTATTAATCTGTATATTGCCACGTGGCTGTGGCTTACCAGCTAAAAGTTTCAGTGTGTCTGATTCTGGCAGTGGCTCCATGGCATCTCTCTGACTCCGCCCTTCTTTTCCCAGCATTCAATCCAGTCCTCCCTGCCTAGCTCTGCCCCATCTCACCCTGCTCTGCTATAGGCTCAAAGCAGTTCTTTATTCATTAACCAATAAAAGCAACACACAGACAGAAAGCCCTCCCACACAAGGTGAGGTTGGCAAAGGTGAGTAGAGCAGATTATGTTTCACCAGCATTTGTGGTGAGTGTTTGAGCATGTGCCTTACAGGAAAGGCTGGAACACGGGTGCCAATCGCCCCCAGCCCATACTGGCAGACACATGAAACAAGATCTTCACCACTGCAAACCATGCCTTGTGCAGTTCCTGGTGGGCTACTTGTAGGTTATATTGGTTTGTTTCTGTTCAAGGTGCTTATCAGAAAGCAAGTAAAAGTGATCTTGTTATAGAAATAACCTGCACTTTAATGTTTTGTGTGTGTGTGTGTGTGTTTGTGTGTGTTTGAAGATCAAGTACTCTAAATTCCCACCCACTGCCAGCTATCAAAGGCTGGGCTGTTGTGTGACTTGAACAACATACTTACATCTCTGGACCCCATGTGTGAAATTAAGATTTATTTATTAATAATTATCTAATAAGAATGATGTAATGATTCAGAAAAAAATAAACACCCAAGACTTGTTCCTTACAAAGTGGAACCAGGACTCCTAGGAATGTGGCAGATTTCTGGGCTACAATAGGAACATGGTGTAGGCATAATGATTGGTTTGAACAAGAATTAACATTGGTTTGAACAAGAATTAACCCATCAAGTCTGAGGTGGTGGAAGCTGGAGAAAGGTCAGAGCTTGTATACACGGTCTTGATCCTTCCCATATTGCTTAGCACAACCCATACAGTATTTTGACCTTGCAACTAAAATCAACATTGTCAGTGAGGGACAAAGGACTCTCTGTACCTCTAGACACATAAACTCTTATGAGGTGTTCTGGCCAAGGATGGGAAGCCTGAGTCTAATAATGAAAAAATGAAGAAGGGAATATCTGTAAAATAACTGGGTTCTCTCCTTCAAAGTTCTCATCCCATGAGAGCACACGGGGATGGTCCCATCGTAGGATGCATGTCTTTTTCCCTTTAAACCAGGTGTGTGATGCTAAGGGCTTCAAAGGCCAGCATCTGCAGGGCGAGATGACTTCTCTGGTGGCTTGACTTGCTTCCTGGTCTCTTGCTCTGTCTTTGTTACACGGCTTGCTTCCTGGTCTCTTGCTCTGTCTTTGTTACACGGCGTGCACTCAGGACATCCTTTGGTGGTTTTCACTAACCCACTCTATTGTTGCAAATAGAACAAATGGCCCTGTTGAATTAGGGTTTCAGGTAAATAGCAGATCTCTGTTTAACTGTCAGATGTGCCATGCAGCCCTCCCCATGCTGACTCAGAATGGCCCTCACAGCTCTCTCAAAGCTGAAAGGTCTGCCTTGGTCCATTAAATCCCCTCAGGGATTTCCCTCAGGGTGGCAGTGGTTCCAGCATGTGGCCCTATCCAGCTTCCAAGCCTACCTACCTCTCTGACCCTAGCTTCCAGCCAGCACAGGGCCTTTTAGGAAGATCTACAGGACAAGGTGGCTTGCGACAGGTGCCTCCTCTTCCTCACCAAGCACTTTCCAGCCCCATCATCCGGCTCTTGGTTCTCTTTCCTCTCAAGAAGGCACGTGTTCTTCTTGGCCACCCCAGCCTTCTGGAACCCTGGTTCTGTGATGTCATCACTCCCATAAATATGCTGGTTTGAACTGTGAAAACTGTCCAAGCTTTAGGTAGAATTGGCAGGCGGGTCTGGAAGGCAAGGTGTCTCATGTAAGACGGGCCTGCCACCTCCCTTCCTTTCTGGGAACAGGGCCGCCTTGACTTCTTAGGAGAAACTGCAGTCACAGGTCCCTGCCCCTGGCTGCAGGAGTGTGTGTCCATGTTTGTGTTCTGAACAAAAACTCCTCAGAGCTTTGAAATTTTGCACAGTACCCAGAGTCTGCATTTTGAATTTCTGTGGGCACAGGCCCTATGAGGCACTAAGCCTTTGTGAAAAGTCTGGAGTCTAGGCCAGGATCCAGTCCCAGAGGCAACTCTTCAGGGACCCACATACCCCTTCTGCTGCTGTCTGGGGCTCAGTGAGTGTCCTTTCTTCCATAAACAGATTTAAGTTTTGTTTCTGTTGTGTGTTCACACAGAAAACCTACCTGTTATAGCATGGAAATACTTCTAAGGGGCACTGAGAAATATTTAGAAGTTACTATTACTAAAATATGTTTTGTGGAAAGGGATTGTAGGTCAAGCATGGTTGAGAAACACAGCATAATTTAGAAGTCCAGAAACAATGCCCACCGTCTTGAAGCTGATACTTGCTGGGCTAGCCAGCAGCCACTAGAGGGCAGAAGCAGACCATGTCCAAGGTTTTGGAGTTTCTGTTTCCAGAGTGCCTTCCCTTAGATGCCCTAGCTAGCCTTCCCCAGCTGACCACAACCATTTCCTTTATACTTGGTACAGCTTGGGTTTCAGCTTTGGTCTCTTTGGTTCTGATTCTACCTTGTTGGCCCATCAGTACCAGGAGACTTCCCTGTGTTCCTAGATCCTTGTAAAAGAGGTTCCTGACTCAAGCAAGGGGCAGTCACAACATTTGGTTTGTAGGGCTGGCGATGGCATCAGGGAGCTGTGGTTCTCAGGGTGTCTTTAGAGAAATCTCCCATTCACTTTGTCTGGAGCCCCATGAGCAGGAATCGGTGTGATTTATGGGGCCAGTTGCTGCAGCATCACAAGCGTAGCTAGCCTGGTTAGCACATGGTAAAGAGCCAGACATTGGGATGAATGGCTTAGTAGAGAAGGAGAAGAGCAGAGTTAATGCGGATGGGAAAGTGATGGTGGAATGCCGGTGGGATGAAGCAGAAGAGCCTTCCTAGGACAACAACTGTTGACCCAATGAGCCCTGCCAGCAGCGCTACAATGCTTAGCACTGCCAGCAGGGATTCATTTGTCTTCATAGCACTCTAAGAATCAGCTCCAGAGAAATTAAGCATCGTGTCCAAAGCCTCGGAGCTGGTAGGAAGCAACCTAAAGTTGAAGTTGGATTTGATACGAACATGTGGGCTTAGCTGCTACACAAGGGGACCCACATAAACAAAATTGTCTTTATCATTTTTCTTTTTTGAGGCAAGAACTCTCTCTGTAACCCAGGCTAGCCCCAGATTTGTGGTCCTTTTCCTGCCTTAGCCTCTCAAGTGCTGAAGGGCTTACCCCAGCTCTTCAGTTTTTTTTTTTTTTTTTTGCTAAACTAATGTTTGTATTTAGTCCATTGTTTTTCCCTGGCGCTCCCTGACAGTATTTACCGAAACTCTGCACTTCCCCTGATACTGCCAGTTTTGCATAGCAGGGAAGGGTATGGGAAAACACATAACCAGGAAGTCAGGTACATCCCATCAGCTAAAAGTTAACTCATTTCACTGGTCGTGAGTAGCGGGGTGAAGGGTTATCTAAAAGCTGACCCTCAGTTTGCAGAGGGTCACTTCAGTCTTGCGGACAGAGCTATCAGTTGTAAAGCCCAGTAACCCACTGTTAATAGTTCATCCTTAAGCTGCTGAGAAAGCTGCCGACAGCCTGCTCTCATTCTCCTAGGCTTACAACTTTGTATTTCTTTATTTCTACATTCTTATTTCTGGAATCTACATTTCTGTATTTTTACTCTTGGACCCTTCACCCAGCACTAACTAGGGAGATGGAGACAGGAGCGGTATGACTGGACAGAGAGAAGAATATAAAGGGTAAGAGACAGGAACTTGGTGGAGTGTGGAGTCTGAGGATTCATGGAGATGATCTTGCCCTTTCAGTCTGAAGATCTGGTAGAGGTAAAGGTCTTTCTAGTGATTGGCTGCTTTGCTTTTCCGATCTTCAGGTTGAACCTCAATATCTGTCTCTGGGTTGCTATTACTTGTGCAACATACCCCTACAATAAACAATTTAGGAGAGAAAGAACTTGTTTTAGCTTTCAATTCCAGGTGACAGTCCATCGCTCCTGGGAAGTCACCGTGAAAAGAGCTTGAAACAGCTGGTCACATTACATTCCCAGTGAATAGTGGAGAGAAATGGATACATGTATTCTGCCTGATTGCCTTCTTGTGATCAATTTGGTTTCTCCACTCTTAAAAGGTCCAGGATCTCTTGCCTAGGGAATGGCACTGCCCACACTGGGCATGCTCTTTCCATATCAGTTGACTTGGTTAAGACAATCCCTACAGACATGCTCACAGGGCAATCCAAAGCAGACAGTCTCTTGTTCAGACCCTTTTCAGATGGCTCTAGGATATCACAAGCACATAATGTCTTTCTTAGTGACCTTGGCATGGTTGCTATTCAATGCCACTTCAGGCAGTACATGCTCTCAACGGCTGAGCCATCTCTCCAACCAAGTTCCCTCTTTTAAATTCTTACGAAGCAGGAGGTAGCAGCATTTTTTTAAATAAATAAATAAAGGTCCACATAGTACTATTTTAGCCCTTGCTGACCATAGCAAGGAACTTTGGAACTTTGGTTCTGTTATCATGGCACAAAGTCAACCACAGAGAATGCGTCTGTGACTGAGTCTATTGCAGTAAACTTACTTTGTACAAACAGGTGGTGGCTAGATGTAGGCCATCAGCTAGTCACTGATCTGTCTTATAAAAAG